GACTGCTCTCCCTCACGCTTTTTCTTTTTCTCCTCCTGAATCAAATACACACAGCATTTGTAAGATGAAAGGTAAGTAACTAGATAAAAAAAAAATGTGAGTGGCTTTGGCCTTTGCAATATAGTGTTATTTTAGTATCACTGAGATACTATTATAATTTTTTATATATATATATATTGAATTATTTTTGCATTTCCATTTTAATTTGTTTAGTAATTTTGTTGTGTTTTGTCATTTTTTTGTTTTTTTTAACCCCTTTAACTGTCACTCCCATTTTTGAACACAGACGTGAAAGTGCACGATCCAAACTTACATTTTTATAATTCATGAACGAAAACATTTTGTAACATGACATCGATGTACCATTTTCATGGTAATGCAATGTTTGATTTTAAAATGGGTTTCAAAGGATGAATTTTGAGATTTAAAGTTTTCAATTGATATATAATTTCTGATTATTTCTAAAGTGTGATCGAGAAAAAGGCAACAAAGACGACTTTTTTTGACAAAGGTCAGAACTCCTGTTATGATGTAGATTTTGGAGGTGCACTCTTGTCATAAATTAATCTATTACTTTTCCTGCATAATTTTTTACAAAAACATTGGTAAAATATCTATTTAGGAGTCTTAGACCTTTCCAACGATATATAGTTGGTCATGATTAGATTAGGATTTAATTGTAATATAGTAAAGTAAACTTAGGCGTCCCACAGAGGGGACGGGTGACAGTTAAAGGGTTAAATAAAATGTGTCTATATATATTTTTTTATTAATGTTTATTTCAATTTTAGTGCATTAAGTTAAACTACATTTACAAAGATAAATGTTGTTTTGGCAACCCCCTGAAATAATAAAAAAAAAGTTTTACTTATATTTCAATTTTATAACACTAAATATTATTATAGTTTTATTAATAGCATTTGTTTTTAGATTTTCCATTTTCAGTATAATGTTTGTTAACGTTTTAGCAATTTTGTTGAGTGCTTTTGCTATTTTTGTTTTTAAATGCCTATATAGTTTGTATTTCTTTCAGGTTTACGTTGCATTATGTTACATGTTTAATTCATCAAGTAACATCCAATTATTCTCTTGAAATTAGTTACTTTAGTTACTGCATTCTGAATCCGATTTTTGTGTAAAAATGTCTTAACTTTTGGCAGTCCGCTCAAATTATAAGGGAAGAAATAGCCTGAAATATCACTTCTGGTTCACTCATCACACTGGAAAGGTCAAAAGCATTGCATCGTGTGACACAGTATTCCATGCAGTCCATACAGTATTAGCTCATCCGATATGATGAATATGCATCTTGAATATTCTCATTCTGTGCACAATATGGACTGCACGATTCAATGTCTAAATATGAGTGTTTAAGAGTCGCTCTTTCACTCACCTTCCTCCTCCTCCTATCCTCATCATCTACATATTTCTCTTTCTCCGATTTCTTCTTCTTCTTCTTTTTCTTCTCTTTGTGCCTCTCCCACTCGTGGTCAGAGCGGTCGTCATAGTAACTGGAGTCGTGTCCGGATCCGGAGAGCTCGGTCACTTCACTGCCGCCCACCTTGAGCACCAGCTTCAGGGGTTTATCCAGGGGTTTGTCCTCGTAGTCTGAAAAACCACACACAAAGCCATCAAGAGTCGAAATTGAAGATTTATTTGGTACATGACTTAATGACATTATTCTGCTGTTCTGGAGGAACTTCTCATTCACTTCTAGTAATAGACTACAAGGAGCATCACAATACTATAGTGTAAATACAACAAAATACCCCCACCCTGATAGTCCTGTTAAACTAAATACAGCAATAAAAACCCTCTAGAGGTGTGTATTTCCTTTACGATAATCGTTTAGACCAGGGGTTTCAAAATAGGGTCCGGGGACAGGGTAACAAATGTAAATAATTATAATAATAATAATATTAAACTAAGTAAATAAACAATAAAATAATATATAATAAATTAATTGTTTATTTAATAAAAAAAAATAGTATAAACTAACTAAATAAAATTTTTTATTAAAATAATAATTAAATAATTTTGATCAAATAATAAATAAATAAATATTTTTAAAATTCAAATAAATAATAGAAATAAGATAAAAAAAACATATTAGCAAAATAACAAATAAATGAATAACAGAAAATGTATTAAAGTAAATAAATGATACATTTTACAGTACCGTACAGTACAGTACAGAGAGTAGAGAAAACTAAACGTAGTAATGGAATGGAAACATAATATATATAAACCAATAATATTCTACACATCTATAATATTAATATTACAAGCTCACAATATAAACTGGGTCTTACATATTTTAGGATGGAGGTCTTTAGAATCAAACAATTGAAATCCCCACGATTCAGACAACGCCCAAAATAAATAATCATGAATTAAAATGTATTATTTGTGTGTTTCTGTATGAATGAAAACAGGTATATCATGTATCTATAGAATGATACACAGACTAGCAGAACACTTCGAATGAATTACAGCGATTTTCAAATGCATCTTAACGTTACCTCCTTCGACCTTTCTCCACTCGGGTCTGTGTTTCTTGTGCTTCTTCCCCATTTCTGCCCTTATTTCTGAGTCAAAATCAGGTTTAATCTTGCGGATTTCTGTCTCGCTGCCGTTCTTCGACAAAACAACAACAACAACAACACGATTCAGACAACGCCCAAAATAAATAATCATGAATTAAAATGTATTATTTGTGTGTTTCTGTATGAATGAAAACAGATATATCATGTATCTATAGAATGATACACAGACTAGCAGAACACTTCGAATGAATTACAGCGATTTTCAAATGCATCTTAACGTTACCTCCTTCGACCTTTCTCCACTCGGGTCTGTGTTTCTTGTGCTTCTTCCCCATTTCTGCCCTTATTTCTGAGTCAAAATCAGGTTTAATCTTGCGGATTTCTGTCTCGCTGCCGTTCTTCGACAAAACAACAACAACAACAACATTAGCAGCTAACTTCCGGTTTCAGGCTGGCGTCGTTTCCGGGGCAGGCTGACGTCAGCGTGAGCGCGGTAAGTTCGAGTTTGTCTGAGGTGAGTGTGTTTATGTCTACCCTGCTTTCTCTATTTACTTTATCTGTTAATAAACACGGCAGCTAACAAAATAGACACCAGTAGACCCAGGAAAGCAGAAAACACATGTTCCATTCGCGAGATCCTGCGTGATGTTTACGACAGTTAGCTGTTTGCTAGTTTCTGCGAGGTGACCCTGGACCACAACAAACCAGGCCTAAGAGTCTTTTTTGGGGGCAAAATATCTTCATGGAACATGATCTTTACTTAATATCCTAATGATTTTTGGCATAAAAGAAAAATGTATAATTGTGACCCATACAATGTATTGTTGGCTATTGCTACAAATATACCCCAGCGACTTAACACTGCTTTTGTGCTGCAGTCACATATCATATACTGAATTTTGGAAAGTCTAATGCATTCCAGTTTTGAGGAGTTTTTACATGTTATTTTTTTAGTCTGAGGTTTATGGGTGTGATATTTCTTTTATATCCTACAGCTTGTGGATCTGAAGGTTCACAACCTTTGTATCCATATTTTCTCTCTGAATGATGACAGTCCGAGCATGCTTGCTCTGGAAGAGGAGGAGGAGCTTTCGGCTGCCAATCATTGGCTCCTCCCAGCAGGTGATTATGCATGACACGCCCCTTTTTAATGCAAATCACATTCAACGATTCCTTTAATGGAATGAGAATTCTGTGATTATGTACTTGTTCCAAACCTGTATGCTCTTATTATGTCTGTAATATAATGCAAGTAGATTTTTAACACATGTTTTTTTTGTCCTTTTTTTGAGCTTGTCAGTTTAAATCTGCATGCATTTCAAATAGAATAGAATTGAATGGAAAATAGCAGCTTAAACATTTTACCTAATGTGTTATTGTCTGTTTCACTGGAAATTTTTTTTTTAAATGATAATAAGGTTTGGAGTGACATGGAGGCATAAAATAATAACAGAATTTTCTTTTTTGCATTAACTGTTCCCTTAAAAATAGTTATTTGAGTCAGTGCTCTTCTGTGTCAGGGTTATACTTAACTAAACCTAAAACTTTTTTATTTTATAAAAAACATTTAATCTACCTGAAAGGAAACGTTTCTCATATTAATTTGATGAACTAAAACTGAATGAATTGATCTATATAGGCATGTGTAAAGAAACAAAACTACTTAAAATGTCAAAAACACAACTAAATTACTAAAACTTTAACCAAAATTGGAAAATATAAATAATAAAATATATTTTATGTGATTGTAATATTTCTACTCCCCTGAGAATCTTTTTATTGTTTTGACAGCATTGAAAATGTTTTTAATCGAAGTTAAGGCAAATTTAATTTTTATGGGACAAATGGGTCTTAATTAAATGTTAATCTAAAGTATGGTTTTCACCACAAAAAAGGCATGAAAAAACAAACACACATCTACACAGTACGTTGTTCCAGAGAGCTACATAGTATAAGACTACAACATCATCCTCCTCATTTTCTTCTTCATGTCTTCCAGCTGAGTTTCATGGCATTTGGGAAAGTTTGATTTATGAGGAAGGCATCAAAACACAAGTAAGACAAGCATATTCACAGTTATCTTGGAATTACTTAAATTATGTAGCAGAATTATGCTTATTGGCTTGGCAGAAATAGACGGTATAACCAAAATCCTGTGTCACAGCAGAGGTTATTTGATATACATGTTTGATATAAATATATAGATATATATACACACACTACCGGTCAAAAGTTTGGGATCAGAACGATTTTTAATGTTTTTTACAGGAGTCTCTTATGCTCCTCAAGGCTGCATTTATTTGATCAAAAATACAGGAAAAAAATTCATATTGTGAAATATTATTATGATGTAAAATAAAGTTTTTCTATTTTAATATACATTAAACTGTAATGTATTTCTGTGATGCGCAGCTGTATTTTCAGCATCATTCCTCCAGTCTTCAGTGTCACATGATCTTCAGAAATCAGTATAATATGCTTATTTATTATCAGAGCTGAAACTGTTGCTGCTTAATATTGTTTTTGGAACCTGTGATACTTTTTTTCAGGATTCTTTGATGAATAAAAAGTTAAAAAATCAGTATAATATGCTTATTTATTATCAGTGTTGAAACTGTTGCTGCTAAATATTTTTTTGGAACCTGTAATACTTTTTTTCAGGATTCTTTGATGAATAAAAAGTTAAAAAGAAGAGCATTTATTTAAAATAGATATCTTCTCTAACAATATACACTACCGTTCAGAAGTCTGCGGTCAGTACATTTTTATTCTTTCTTTTTTTGAAAGAAATTAAAACTTTTATTCAGCAAGGATGTGTTAAATTGATAAGAAGTGATAGCAAAGATTTATATTTTG